CACTCACCCAGCACTCACACTTTTTGCCCCACTCCCCTCAGGAAGGAGGTTGAGGAGCATTAAGTGTAGAACCACTAGACTGAGGAACAGCTTCTACCCTGAGGCTGTTAGACTCATGAATCTCTAACTAGAATAATCGCTGTGAAAAACCACATCATGTTGCTGCTGATCTGTTTCATGTTGCTGCTGATCTGTTTCATGTTGCTGCTGATCTGTTTCAATGTTGATGTGTTCATGCGTGCACATCTGCTCACAGACTCATGTTCATGTTTGTGCTGATGTTCAATGTTTTATGTTATGAGTGCTTAGTGTATATTTAGTTGATGTTTTTCTTAGTTCATATCTTAGATGTTATTACTGTTTTCTTAGACATTTTATTGTTGGATGTAACTGGGACCCTGTGTACATAATTTCGCTCCAGCACATGTACCACATGAGGTGCGACTGACAATAAAGAAACTCTGACTCTCTGAAGAGAGTCTGAATTTCTGTTGCCTCATTTCTGCTTTAGGACAAAAGAAGAGTTGGTTTAAATGAGAATCAGAAGTTTTTACAACCCTGATGTTTTTTTGTTTTTTTTACAAAAACATCAGATTTACCTGAGAATGTGCCGGGAGGTGCCTGACCCAACAGAAGGATTTATCAAAAAGGAAAGTCTTAATCCCGTCTTCAAACTGGACCATGTGTCAGCCTCATGGACAGAAACTGGAAGTTGGTTCCACAAGAGAGGAGCCTGAGAACTGAAAGATCTTCCTCCCATTCTGCTGCTGGAAACTCTAGGAACCACAAGTAAACCTGCAGTCTGAGAGTGACGTGATCTAGGCCTCCGACCAAAACCTGCCTCTGAAGACCTTCATGGGACAGGAACTGTTATTTCATTGATTTGAATCCAGAAATACAAATTATCTCATCCAGAGACTTTTTAATTGTATCCTGAACTAATCAATTGAAAGAACACTCTCTTTTTTATATTATCATTAATATTTTACAATGTCTTGATAATCAAAAGTGTGTTTAGTTCAAACCATTTTTAAATGTTGAAGTGAACCACTCATTTTAAATCAACTGTGAAACAGTTTTAATGATTTTTAATCCTCATTTAAATTAGAAATCAAGTTAAATGTCTATTTTACAAAGTAATTATGCATTTTGATCTTCTGTCTGAAATGAGAAGGAGTGATGTCGGTCGAAAGTCAGAAGGAAGTTATTGGAACGAAGTGTCGTGTTTTTAAAACTCTCAGACAGTAAATAAGAAAACTGGCACCTGTAAGTCTGTCATTTCTCCAAAATATTTCTCTGTCTGTAACTAACCGTTCTCAAAACATTCCTGCTGTTTTCTTGACTTGTAATGACCCTCTGACATCACTAGAACCACCCCCCTGTTGGTTGCTTCAACCAATCAGGAGGTCCTAAAGTGAGAACTCTTTAAAAGTCGACACTTCCTGGAACTATTCAGTTCTGGGGTGGAGTTCTGGAGTCAGTGCTGCAGTTCTCAGTCTTCATGGAGTTTTTCCACTGCTGAGTGGAACTTCGGACTCAGTTTTCCCGTCTGATGGAGTCATCCATCTCTGCTGTGGTCACGGCGCCGCGCTGTGACTTCCCCCGGGTCGAACGCCCTACAGCTTCTGAGGAAGTTTGTTCTGTTGAACGGAGTATCTCACGACTTCTGCCGAGTCACAGCCGCCCTGAGGAGACACTGAAAGGTAGCGTGCCAGGGACCTCTTGACCGTAGCGGACCCATCCTCTGCCAAGGTAAAGAGTCGTCACGAGCTTCACGCACTAAGTGGACCGAGGGAGCTGCGCTTGAAAGGAGCGTGCTGTTCTGGTCCACAGACTTACATCTTCCTTCAAAAACCTCTCCCTTTAAACTCCTCCATTTTCCCATCTTTAATCTAGATATCTTCAGAAAGGTCTGTTGTTTTTATTAAGTAAAACGTGCCAAGTTTTATTAATCAGAACCAGCTCAGTCTAATCAAGTGTACAATGTTTTGATGTTAAATTTTGATTCTGTTAATAAATGACCACATTGATTCTAATGGGTCAAAGAAAATTATCGTCTCATGTCACTGATTAGACCATCTACGCACAGTTACCTCTGTCACATGGCTGTAACTAGCTCGAAAAAGAGAGAACCCGTTATTTAAATTATATTGTAGTGAAGGTACAGCAAAGCTGACCTTGACACTACAAGAGCGACGTGCTCTGTTAGGAAAATATGGAACAATAAGATCTGTAATAAAAGATGGAGCTAGGTTGTTGAGGGCTTTGTAGGTTAGAAGTAAGATTTTGAATTCTATTCTAGATTTGACAGGGAGCCACTGGAGAGAAGCTAAAACTGGAGAGATATGATCTCTCCCAGTAACTCCAGTTAAGACTCTGGCAGCAGCATTTTGGATCAACTGAAGACGTTTTAAAGAAGTATTTGGACACCCAGATAATAAACCATTGCAATAGTCCAGTCTAGACGTGACAAATGCATGGACCAGTTTTTCTGCATCATCTTTAGATCAGATGTTTCTAATGTTAGTGATATTACGCAGGTGGAAGAAGGAGGTTCTAGTAACGTTTTTAATGTGGGGGATAAAAGACATGTCCTG